GGCGAGGGACTGCAGAACGGAGACGGCGGAGTGAAGGACTTGGTGGCGGCGGCCCATGAGAGCGACGGCGGCTCCGTGTTTTCCGAGTTGGGTGGATATTTCGAAGCCGATTCCCGAGGCTCCGCCGGTGATCAGAGCAACCTTCCCCTTCAGGATCTCTGCTTTGAACGGTGACTCCATGCTTCGCCTCCTTCTAATCGCTGAATTTTCCGATTCAATTTATAGAGCTGCGGAAGGAAGTATATAGATATGCCTTGTTTTGAATAATGGAAAATGAATGACGTAAAATAAAATAGTGAGTGAAAAGGATGGAAAATAAATATATTTTAGGTTGGATTATAGTTTTAGTTTTTTTTTTTTGTATTTATTTTGATTTTTTTTATATTATAAAATGTTTGTATTTGTCTTTTACTTTATATTTGGATTAATTTAATTTTTAAAATAATAATAATTTTTAATTTTGTGACATAATTTTGAATTAATTTTATATTTATTTGAGATGTAAAATTTGTAATAATAGATTTATTTTTAATTGTCTTTTGGATTTACTTTTATGTAATTTTCACCAAGTCTATACAATCTTCTGTGGAGAAAAGAGAGATATTAGAAAAGGGGTTGAATAATGTCAATTAAAGGGTTGAAGAGATATGAAATTGAACACATAATTTTTATATTGGTTCATGACTGAAACTACATCCATCCTTGCGCCCGGCGTGATCTAAATGCGTCGAGCGTGAGTATATTTGGTTGATAAGTCTTCATAAAAGTTGTAGCATTGGATATTAGCTTTCCAATGGCGCTGGAATCACCCAAAAAGGAGGTCTAGAACTCCAGATATGGCTATTTTAGTGAACAGGGGTCAAGCTGCCAGCATTGGTTATAGCTATTGCGATTTTTAGAATTTTTAACAAGGTAGATGATGGAATTAGGAATTGGTGTCTTTATGAGAGTTGTAAGAAATCTTTTTATCTTTCATATGAGATAAGAATGAGCATGATAGGAGTAGTATAACTTCATATATGCCATTTTATGTGAAGGTTGCCATTTCACAATAAGTGATTTGGTTAAGTTGAAAGTTGCTTTGGGTGCTTAGGTTGATTGATGTTGTTTGGGTGTGTAAGTTGGCATGATAGATGGGTTGTAAACATGTAGTATGAGTTGTGTTATGTGATGAAAATGTTGTGTGTTGATAATATGTGATATGTTGTTAAAGTTGTTATATGTTATGTGTGAACTATTGTTGTAAAGCTGAATGAAGGGTGTCTATAGTTGTGAAGTCATAAAGTTGATATTGTGTTGACTATAGTTGCTCTAGTTGTTTAATTAAGTAGTATAAAAATTCCTATTGTTGTAAAGTTGTGCCTTAAAGTTGTTGAAGTTGAGATTGATGACTATAGTTGCTTATTGTTGTAAAGATGGTTATTGTTGTAAAGTTGTTATGATACCTATAATTGTAAAGTTGTAAAGTTGTAAAGTTGGGGACATATGGTGAATATATATGTCCTATGTTGAGATACATAGTACTAAGATGATAAGTTAGAAGTTGTTTTAAAGTTGAATCCCTTAGTATTGTGTGGGCGATATGGAAGTAGTCGATCCATGTCATGGTTGAATGACCAAATTGCGTAAGGTATCTAGTTAGAGATGTAGTCTTTGACTAGGTACTGGAGAGTGCGTGGTACTTAGAGGGCAGTGGGTGGGCTAACTTCATATGTGGATTGGTTATGCAGACCAAAGTCGTGGTAGGCCCATACTCAAACCTTTCTACCCTGACAGTAGTATTAGACCTCTGAGTCTAAGTAGCACACCCGAGTAATTGCCTATTCTTGTCTATACATGATTCTCTTCGGAGTTCCTAACGATGCCCTATACCTGACCTGGTTGAGATAGGTCAAACGTTGGATTCGATAGGGTTTATGCCACCTAGACTGCTCTACTTCAGTTGATGGAGATCTATTCGTTGTACATGTGTGACGACGCATTAGTTGATGTTGCATGTGTTGTTGCATTCAAGTTGCATATAATGTATATGAATGAGTTGATAGTTAAGATTTGATGATAAGTTGTGTAGTTGTGTTGTGATGATGATTGGATGAATGAGTAGTATAGCATTACCCTATACTTGTATGGTTGTTTATTGAACTCTAGCTTACCCTTCTATTTCCATGTGGATGGACTGCGATGATCATACCATGTATGGGAGCAGATTAGGGCTAGGTTGGAGCTGGCTGTGGTGACCGCTGCGAAAAGTGGGATTTTGTTCCTAATCTTAGAGTTACCATTATGGGTAACAGTTGTTGGTGCTTGACCGACACTAGGATAGTATTAGTTGGATGACTGTATATGCATAGTGTGTTATTTTGTATATAAATATTTATTATTTTACCTCTTCTTATATATATATTGTTATCCAGTTGAATATTTTATTTTAATTCACTAGTAGTTTAGTTCGATTCCAAGGGGTGCCTTCTAGTATTATTTCATATAGGGATCCAAGGTTCACTTCTAGATTTTTGGCAGAGTCTACACCAAGCCTTAGGTACGAGGTTGAGATTGGGTTCTGCTTATCATCCACATCAGATGGTCAGTCAAAGAGGACGATTCAGTCCTTGAAAGATTTGCTGAGGGCTTGTGTGCTAGACCACTTGGGGAGTTGAGAAGAAGTCTTACTACTGGTGGAGTTCACGTACAATAATAGCTTTCATGCTAGTATTGGGATTTGAAGCATTGCATGGTAGGAAATGTATGACTCCTCTGTGTTGGTATCAAAGATGGTGAGTCGGTAGTCTCGGGGCTAGAGTTAGTTTTACAAACTATTGAGGAGGTGAAGTTGATTCAAGAGAAGATGAGGTTTGCCTATAGTAGGTAGAAATCAGAAGTTGATAGAAGGCAGAGGCCTTTGGAGTTTTCTAAGGTGGAACACGTGTTCATGTTTTCTAGTTGAGAAAGTACGTTTATGATCCAAGTCATGTTGTAGAAATGGATAAAGTTCAGGTTAGGTAGAACCTAACTTATGAGAAGACGCTTGTAGTTGTAGTTGATTCGGTGCATGAGATCGATGTGTGGCAGGCTTTGGACTCGGTGTCCTATGCGCTATTGGCGGTTGAGAAACCGAGTGCCCCTCTTCCTCGTTTAGGTGACTCGGTTGAGGGGGTTGATCAGAGGTGCGCCGTGGTAGCTGAGCGCGGATACGCTCATTCTCGGCGCGCAGCGC